CGCACTCACGTTAGAAGGCTCTCTCAGTGGATTCTGCGTCTTTTTTCTCCCAATCTCTCAGGTTTTGTAAGGTTTCCAATGGCTTCAGATCTTTTCTGTGTGATGTATGGGCGCGAGTGCAAGTACAGAGCTCCTTACTTCTCCGCCATCTTGCCCTCTCTCCTTCAGATGCTTGTTTACACTGGTGCTGAGAGTGACTAGCATCAAGCTGAATTCATGTGTAGCTTGAATGTACCTATTTCATAAAAGAAAGTGAGCATCACAGGGTTAGGATGTTGGATAACAGCAGATGATTACCCAAATATCTGAAATATACTTAGTTGTCTCTGGGGAGAAAGCTGAGCAGCTAAAATTAAGGAGTGAACTAAAGTGAGACTATTTTATTTAGTGACTTATTTGGGGGAACTCTGGGAACAGGGCATGTTATATCAATAAAGGAGAAAATTAGTGAAGATCGAGGTGAAAAAGACGCTCAAGCCATAGATCTAGTCTAAGATGTGTAGATAAAGGCAAAATTCAGCTTGATGATAAGGGTAAACTGCTTCTGGTTTTAGGGAGGCAGGCCAGGATGAACAGCACCACTGACTACCTTCCTGCCCTATATAGCACTGGTGGGATCAGCAGAAGGGCTAGAAGCAGTGGTAGTATGCGCTGTCTCCAAAGAGAAAATGTGGGTTCCTTATTTTCCCTCCAACCTAACTTCCCCTGAAGCAGTTCTGCTTAAATGAACCTCAGCAAACAAACATACCATCTTATTTGGGTTGGGTATGTATGCCCAACGTCACAGAGGCCCAACTGAAAGAACAGTAAGAGATTTTTGACAGCTGAAGAAAATGTTCCTTTCTTATTTCCTACCAGTGAAAGCAGGAAGATTTGATCCCTTGGGCTCAGTAACTTCCAGCATGCATGAGAGTTTTGTCAGGAAGTGAAATTGCCAGGTAGGGAAGAAAGGCATCCACGTTATGTGGACAATGTAGGAGAAGGCACTTTGTTCAGTATTAAAAGGAATATGATTTCTTATGTACTTCATGTAATAAAGTGGTTTTATATGAAGATTTTAGCTCTAATGTCTCTGCTTGTATATAATTTCTTGATTGCAGTACAGGGAGGTGAAACAACATGGAACCATTTGGATGGGGATACAGAACACTAATTGAGGATCCAGTGCAAGTTCTGGGTTGAGGGTCAGGTTGTACATAAATTAGGAGAGACTATGCAAGGCTTACTAGAGAGCATTTGGCCATGGGTTTATGAACAAATTCAAGATACGAGAGGTAGACCCACACTGGGAGTTCTTTGGAGTTCTGACCCAGATACAGGATAGAAACCACTTAATACTATAAGCATCCAGCTGAGACTCCAGAAAGGCCATAGCTTTGAAGTAAGTACTATGCCCTAGAGTAATAGGCACTCTAGTTATATATTTATAAGCCTAACACCAAGCTTCAACAATATACTTAGGTGAGTCAGGGTTTAGAGGTTGAGTCCTACCAAATTCAGGAGCTTTGGAAAACAGAGGCTTTTCACAGATGAACCCTAACAAAATGTAAACTGGACCTTTAAAATTTCAAAATGATTAGTCAGTAATTGCACTGCACACTAGAATTCAAAGTGATATTCTTTAGAGAAGTATAACAGAATAAGGTACACTTATAAGATGACATATTCAATGTTTAATATTTAATCAGAATTACTAGGCATTTTTTAAAAAGTGTAATATGACCTATAGTCCAGGAAAAAAGCAATGGATAGAAACCAATCCTAAGATGATCCAGATTATGGATATAGCAGACCACGAGTTTTGAAAGCTAATATAAATTTGTTCATGGAGCTGAAGGAAAATATGGTCTTTATATACAGGAAATCTTGGTGTTAAATAGAAACTATGGAGAAAGTGGAAGTAGTACCACTGGAAAATTTTAGAACAGAAAAGTACTATATCCAAAATTAAAAATTATTTGATGGGGTTGAAGGTGTGACAGAAAAAAACAAAGGAATAAGTGAAACTGAATCAAAATAGAAATTATCTAATATTAAGAAAAGATTGAGGAAAAATGTGAGGCCAGAAACCATGAAACTCCTAGAAGAAAACACAGACAGTGATTTCTTTGACATCAGCCATAGAAACATTTTTCTAGATATGTCTTCTCAGATAAAGGTAAGAAAGGCAAAAATTAACTACTGGGACTACACCAAAATAAAAAGCTTTTGCACAGTGAAGGAAACCATCAACAAAACAAAAAGACAACCTACCTAATGAGAGAGGATATATGCAAGTGGTATCTCTGAAAATAGGTTAATATCCAAAATATATAAAGAACTTACATAACTCAATAAAAAAATATCTAACTAAAAATGGGAAGAGGACCTGAATAGACATTTTTCCAAAGAAGACATAGAGATGGCCAATGGAAACATGAAATGATGTTCAATATCGCTAATCATCAGGGAAATTTAAGCTAAACAGCAAGATATCACCTTACACTTATCAGAATGACTAGATTCAAAAAGACATGAAATAACGGTTGTTGATAAGGATGTGGGAAAAAAGAATCCTCTTGAATTGTTGGTGGGGAAGCAAATTGGTACACCTACTGTAGAATACAGAATGGGGTTCCCTCAAAAAATTAAAAATAAGAGTACCATGCAATCCGGCAACTTCACTAGTAGGTATTTACCCAAAGGAAATGAAAACATTAATTTGAAAAGATAGATGCTTCCCTATGTTTATTGCAGCATCATATACAATAGCCAAGATATGGAAGTCACCCAAGTATCCATCTATTTTCTACTGAAGAATGGATAAATAAGGTGTGGTGGAGATATCTATATCTAATCTATATCTGTATATCTATATCTATATCTATATCTATCTATATCTATCCATATCATCATCTATATCATCAATGTCTATATCTATATCATCAATATCTATATCATCTACTGGAATATCACTCAGCCATAAAAAGGAACGAGATCTTGACATTTGTGGCAACATAAATGGACCTAAAGGATATTATGCTAAATGAAATAAGTCAGATAGAGAAAGTGATTTCACTTATATGTGGATTCTAAAAAGCAAACCAAATGAACAAACACAAAAAACAGACTCTTCAATATAGAGAATAAACTACTGGTTGCCAGAGGGGATGAGATTGTGATTGGACAAAATGGGTGAAAGGGAGTTGGAGGTACATACGTCCAGTTAGGGGATGAATAAGTCATGGGGATGAAAGATACAGCATAGGAAATATAGTGAGTGGCAATAGCATATATGGTGACAAATGTAACTACACTTGTTGTGAGCATAGTGTAGAGAGTTGTTGAGTCACTAGGTGCTACACCTGAAACTAATGTAAAACTAATGCGTCAAGTGTACTTCAATATAAAAGAAAGAAAAGTTATCACAATCTTAGGGAATTGAGGTGCAATATCCAGCAATCTAATATATATAAATCTAAGATATATATACATATATGGTCTGAGAAGGAGAAGCTGGAAAAATATTTGAAGCTATAAAAGCTGGATTTTTCCCAAGTTTGATAATTAATATCTACTATCCACTGACAGATCCAAAAAGCCCATTAGCTAGCTGAAAATCAAAATAAAAAGAAAACCAAGAAGTTACTTCAATAAAAAGGACACATTCCATCCAGGGAAACAATGATACAGATAATGGCTGATTTCACATCACAAAATATGTGGCCTAGAGTAAGAAAATCTTCTTTAAAGTGCTAAAAAAGCAGTCTACTCAGAATTCTATTTCCAATTAAAGTATCCTTCAGAAACGACAATGAAATAAAAATATTTGAGATGAATAAAAATCAAGAAAATTCATTGCAAGCAGATGTGTGCAATAAGGAATGCTAAAGAAGACTCTTTGGGTTGATGAGAAATGATATCACATGAACACTTGGTTCTATAAGAATGAAGATACTAAAAATGGTTTAAAAAAAAGAGGGTAGCAGAGGTAAGTTTAAAAGTATTTTTTTTCTCTCTAATTTCCTTAAAAAACTTAACATAAAACATTAACATTGCTAGATGTGGTTAAAAATTAAAGATGACAGCTGTAGCACAAAATACAGAAAGATGATAAGAATGTAAATGAAATTTTACTCTTGTAAGATTTTTACAATTGTAAAGTATGGGAAGCTTATGGTCTTAAGTGGTATGGCATTGACTCTAAGCAAGAAAGGGAACTTCTTTTGATTATATTTTGATAAGTCAAAATACCCAGGATATCACAATATTAGGTATTGTACAAAATCTCTTCATGATATGGATAACAAAATATTAGAAACGACCAAAGGATTCATGGTATACCAAAGAATAAATTGGTACCCTAAACCTTTTCCTCTCTCAGTGAATTCCTAAATATTCCAGTTGTTACTTTAAGTTCTGCGAGATTACTTTTTTATTACATAAATATAAAATTTAAAACTAAAATAGAATGTTATTTTTTTCTAGCTAAAGTCAGTCTCTGATGAAATTTGAACCAGACCAGTAAAGCAGTTAGGTCATTATTTAAGTCTATGTGGGCCCACTGTTAGAAAACTTCCACATTAACCCTAAGCATTCTTTAAAAAGCCCATTTGTTGGTAGACAGAAAGAAGGCTAAAACTCGTGTATGACAGGGTTGTAAATATTTCTACTCAGAAAATGAAATCAAGACTCAACTCTAGTTGAGGAGAACACGCCAACTTTAAGAGAAGTTGAAATTTTACACGGCCTACTTATCACTGGTTTCCTAAATGACCTACGGTAAATAGAAACAGCCTTTTCATGTGGCTGTTCTGATTAAAGCAAGGTCTGTAAGTTGGCAGTACATCATCTGAAATTTCAAAGCTTAAGTGGAAGCTGAGGTTTCTTTTCCTTCCAAAAAAATCCCCCTACTCTTTATGCGTGGTCTATCTGAGTAGCTGGCACACAGTTATAAAAGTCACTGGGCAGTCATCAGGAGTGCACTGGTCCTTATGGCAGGCATCAACTTGCTTACTGCCAGGTCTTTGAACTACAAAAATAAATAGAGAATAGAAGTGCATTGTATTGGCCAAGCCTGAGGCCCAGTCATCTGTCTTGGAGCATGCTCTGGTGAGAGTGTTTAACTTGGATTTCTTCCATCACATGTGGTAGCTGCAAGAGTGAAAAAGGAGAGGAAAAGAACAATGTTAGGTGGTATATTTAATAGTGTGTTGGCTTAACAATTCTCAGGAAACTGTTACTTGTATTTTTCTCTCAGCAGCCAGAATTGGGATTCTGAATGAGTGAATGTGTATTTGAGACAACATGATTCTATTCCCTCCACCCTTTTCCGTTGTTTTACCAAGGGCTTTAATAGCAAGCATAGATATCCCCCCAACACTATCTACTAAAGGAGGCTTAGCTATAGCAACTCACAGGACAGTATTTTTCTGTATTCAATTTCACCAGCAGCCTTGACATCCGTGAATTAATGGGTCTCTTTCACTCTAAACCTGAAAGTTTGAAATTCGTGGTAACTGGATGTTTGTTGCTTTTGGCTAAATTATCCTCTTCTATTTCTTTTCAAGGCCAATGTAACACAAACTAAAACAATTTAGGCTCTCTCTGCCTTTTCATTCTTCTAAGTTTTCTACAATAAGAAAGGAGAACCTTGACTCAACCACACTGTGCCCATAATAAACTTTATTTAAAAAAAAAAATACCTGTGGCTACAGGAGTGGATTCTTTGTAAAGACAGTGAAGCACTCAGCTGTTCTGTATTAGAAGAAAGTTTGCTTGTTTTCACAGCTGAATTATCTTGCTTTCTCTGTTATCAGAAAGAGTACTAAGAAAATCAAATAAGAGATTTTCAAGGGATTTTAAAGGAAAAAAATATATAACTTTTTACAGTTAAGGTTTTAGTTGCTGGGACATTTTTTTTTCTAGATCATGCAGCACATATTTTTTAACCCTCATGAAGGAGCATAAAATAAATATGTCAAGGCTTCCCGTAGAAATGCGTTCATTCAGAGTTGCCAAAATAAGGGAAGCTGTTAGATTTGCCCAGACAGATGGTAAGATAAATTTATGAGAAAAATTATGTAAAAATACTAGGTTTAAGGGATTGAGTATCAGAAATGTGCGATTTGTAATGTTATATTGACTTTTTAAAAGTATAAATCAACAATTGTCTGGAAATTAATGAGATGTGTTGTACACAGTACACATTTTTTACGGTGATAGTTGACTTTACTTATATTTGCCACAACATGAACAAAATATGAGTAACTTTCCAGCCAGCATCAATAACCAGTTTTTGAAATATTCTTTGAAAAAACCTTACAATCTTTAAAAAAAAAAATCCATTCTATATGTTTTAAAGTGATTCTGAAGTGACTCAGATTGAATATTGCCAAATTAAAACATTCAGTAATTCATTCACTCAACAAGGAAGGATCTACTGTGGACCAGGCTCTCTTTCTATGACCTGAACAGTGGTGAGCAAAACACAGTGCTGGCATGTTTGAACAAATATACTAATTTAGATAAAAAGAGAAAACTAATCCTGATTATAGTAAATAATGAAGCTATTTTATTCATATCCACTGTAATTAATTTTTCCAAAAAAATAGATTCATGGTAAAGTTGAAAATCTGCAATATGATAAAATGATATTTTGGGTAAATGGGGAATATTGGTCATAATAAACTAAAAATATCTGAGTTATTTGTGAAAATGCAATTAAAGAAAATCAAATCTCAAAATATTCTTAAATCACTTTAGCTTATATATTTTCATCATGTTTGCAGTTTTTAAATTTAAGACTTTCTTCAGAGACTCAGTATTTTAACATAATAGTTGCTTCAAAAATTCTCACAGTACATATCTGATACTAGATACTTTTTACAAACAGTATTATTCAGAGCCTAATTCCTGACAGAAACAATGTAATACATGGGGCTTATGTTTCTGAAAAAACTAAATGGCTTATTCTACTATTAAATAATGAGAAATGTTAAAGTAAAACTTTGAGGTAAATAAATATTATTCATGGAAGTTATTCCACAGCTAATGAGGTTACTGTTATCTTAAGTGTAGGCTCAACAAACAGGCATTATTGTTCTCTGCTAAAATTCAGCCATATTAGAACTGCAAATTTAGTTAACTTTTAAAAAATATAAGAAGTCAAAGTCTGAACAAAGGAAATATCGTAATACAATTTACCACAAAGAAGTTATCTTTCAGGCACCTGGGTGTTTCAGTTGGTTAACTTCAGCTCAGGTCATGATCTTGCAGTTAGTATGTTTGAGCCCCACATCAGGCTCTCTGCTGTCAGCACAGAGCCCACTTCAGATCCTCTGTCTCTGTCTGTCTCTGTCTCTGTCTCTCTCTCTGCCATTCCCTTCCTGCTTCTCTCTCTCAAAAATAAACAAACATGAAAAAAAAAGAAGTTATCCTCATTGCACAGTGTCAGTTAATCTTTCTCATTAGGGCCACATTCAACATTGACATGGATGAAAGAATAACAGCACAATGATAAACTTGTACATAGCTAAGGTTCTTACTGGGTAGCTTGCGATTTAAAAAATTATATATTCTTTTCAAATCATATGTTAGAAAGCAGGCTTTATAGCTGCTATCCTAATATAAAATTGTAGTAGTATCTCAATAATGAGTTTTCATTTTTATCATTCAATATGAAGTTCCTTTACCTCACAAATTTAGGACTTCCTTCTTGTCTATAGTCCAAACTTGAAATTCTTTTGTTTTATTTGGTTTTCCATTTCCATTTCCATCTTCCAACCCAGCTGGGAGAACTTCTCTTATTGCCATTGAAGCAGTAATGGATATGACAGAATGGAAATTGATGTACATAAAGCAACTATAATCCTCTGTATCCAGTCTTACAAAAACAAATAAATTATTAAATCTTCTGAGACAGGCCCTAAAGCAATTTCCAAAAACATTGCTTTTGAGGGATTAACAAAGAGATTAAATTGCATTAACAAATCCTATCTTCATCAAAAGTTCTCCTACCTTCCTCCTTTCCATGTATTTAAACTCCAACTGCTAAATTTAAAGTTTCCATATACCCATTGAAGTATGGAGGTGCCTTAGATTTTCTGCACCTCAGACATCTAAAGAAACTTTATTTATTTATCTTTGGTGTTTATTTATTTTTGAGAGACAAAGAGAGAGCACAAGTGGAGAAGGGTCAGAGAGAAAGAGAAACACAGAATCCGTAGCAGGCTCTAGGCTCTGAGCTGTCAGCACAGAATCCAACATGGAGCTCAAACCCATGAGCCACGAGACCATGACCTGAGTTGAAGTCAGTCGCTTAACCAACCAAGTTACTCAGGCACCTCCTAAACAAACTTTAAATTGAACTTATTATAGACAATAGAAAGTTTAGAACATTTTGTTCTCCAAATGAAGCAAAGTCCTCCACTCAGAATATTTTTTTAAATTACTCTATTGCAGAAGTCGGGCAGCTGACAGATGGGATTATTTTAAAAAATTCAGTAACACTAACTCAAGTCAAATAGATTCTGCAATTAAGTGATAAGGTAGAAAAGATAAATTATTTGGAGTTTTTGAACAGAAACATAGTGGCTTAACATATAAAGCATGCTGGTGTGAGCAATGATTTCCAAAACTTCAAAATAAGTAAAAGAGAATACAGTTCTTTCAGGATAGTGCTGGGCTGGCATTTTTTATTAATTTTTCATTAAGTGGGATATTTTACAACTTTTTAGAGACAGAGGTCAACTTGTATATTCTTTTTGTGATGGCGATGCAAATTGTTTCTGTCCTATGGCAACGATAACCCGATGCCTTAATGTTCTGTTGGACATTAACCAGGTTTGTGTTTAACCCAACGGTCATCCCTGACAATCATTTCAATTGCTTATACTTGTTTCTCCAATGTTCTCTGTGTTGGTTTTAACATATTACTAGTTAACTAATTAATGATTAAAGTAAAACACTTTGATGGGTGTTCTTTTTATATTTGACTGAGATTTTATTTCGTTGAAAATAATACTTTAACAGTGGTAGAAGGATCCAAAATGATTTATATGTTACAACTTTCATAGAGGTTGGTTGAGACACTAGTACTTTTAATATTTTGCACTTAGTAATGAAGTCACCCAAATTTTATAATAATAAAAGTTGATTTCTGGGGCACCTGAGTGGCTCAGTTGGTTGAGCATCTAACTTAGGCTCTGATTATAATCTCACAGTTTATGAATTGGAGCTCACAATGGGCTCTGTGCTGATAGTGTGGAGCCTGCTTTGGATTCTTTCTCTCCTTCTCTCTTTCTCTCTCTCTCAAGATAAATGTATAAATTTTAAATTTAAAAAAGCTTATTTTATTGTACAAAATACACAAATCATTAAATTGAAGACTCTTATTTAGCTAATATAAATAAATATCAAATATTAATTGACTATCTTTCTTGGGGGCATTCCTCCTTTAATAATCAAAATATATGACCACAGGAAACTGCACTGTTCTCTAGAGTAGAGCTGTATCTTTTTCATTTACCAACTCCCAATATTTCTCACAGTAGTTGCCTTAGAAAATGATTGCAAATATTGAATTAAGTTCTTACTATGTGTGTTACATGTCTTTCAGTCTTAAATAAAATCAAATCACTCAAGTTGATTCCATTCATGAGACTCCTCTGCGTCTCAAATCTGCAAAAATATTTTCAAAGTTCAGGGAATTGAGAATTCTTATTTCACTTACCTATATACAGCTTAATTGTAATAATTATTGTCTTCCTTTTGTCAAAAGTGAAAGGAAGAAAAGTGAAATGACATTAGGGTGCATTAGGAACTACCTTTGCTACCAGCATGCTATGTAAATGTAAATATTTCATTTCTTTTTGCCTCAGTTTATTGAGCTCTAAAATTAAACATGGGAGAGGAAGTTTTCTAAAGTTGCTTTACTGACTGAGAATCTTTTTTTGGCATGTTGACATCTGTAACAATTTGATCCTGTCTAGTGACAGGGGCTCTCTGTTTGTCAACTCTATGATGCTTAAGAAGAATTTATGTTCATCTTTATGCAAGACCAGTTAAAGATTTTCTGAGTTTGTGTGTGTGAATAAGAGGATGACTTAAAGCAAAACATTTCACCAATTTTTCTATAGTGTGCTTCACAAGATTGTGTGAGTTTCAGGAGCACAGTCTCATATATTTCTCAGGTTTGTAGCTACCAAGGACCACTAACAACATTCTTGGAGAAAGTACAAGGAAACATGGATTCCTAAGTTTTTCTTTGTTTTCTTTTGTGTGTGTGTGTGTGTGTGTGTGTGTGTGTGTGTGTGTGAGAGAGAGAGAGAGAGAGAGAGAGAGAGAAAGAGAGAGAGAGAGAGAGAGAGAACATTCCCAATCTGATGATTTTGTAAGGTTATTGTGTTCAAGATGAAAAATTTTTGTGACATGAAGAAAAAGTTGCCGGACCTAACATGAAACCCGAGCTATAGGCAAACCTAAATCCTCAGCAGCTCTAAATCATAAATAGGCCTATCAAAAATATTTCACAGATTGAATTAATATAAATATCAGCCTTCAGCTCCTGCCATACATAAACCAAGTAGCTATAAAGTTCTAAAAACAAATATCCCATAGAGAGTAAAAAGAAGCTCATGGTATGTGAGCTTTGTTATTGAGATTTTTTCTAGCTTTGTAATGCTGAAAAATAAATTATAGGCTGCATATTATTTTACCTTTGCTGTTTTCATTTTTTTCTTCTCTCTAGTGAAGCATATTTTACAGCTACAGAAATTCCTTGAAATTTTTCTAGATTTAATTTTTAAATTTTAAGA